TGAATATAAATACCTTTCTTATATGGCAGCGTGAGATTAATGGCAGCCACCTAATCTTGGACTGTTGCTGGTAATGTCCTGAACCAAACCCGAGCAATGAGCATTCTAGCCATGAAAAGGGTTTCTTGCAAGATGTTTAGATGTTTGATACTATCTAGATTGGGAAGGAAGCCCAGAAAACATTGCTTAGGGCAAAGAGTTAATGGAGACCCCATTCGGTCCTGTAGAAACCAGGCTACCTGAGAGCAGTGTCCTTGGATGATGGGGCATGACCAAAGCAGATGGTAAAAGCTGCCTCTGGTCTCACTACATCTAGGTCACAAGAGGCTGTGATGCAGTCGGTATTTAGAGATGTGGATGAGAGTTAGTTAGGTTCTATGCAAAATATACAAGTGGGTAAGGCGATCAAAACATTCGGGGAGACTAGTTTACAGGATTCCAGCACGTCAACCGAGTTCCCATCCTCAAGATCCTGCACATCTGCCCCCAATGGGTCTTCAATTGATAAAAAGGCAAGGCTTTTCACATTCCCTATTTTAGCTCCAAGAAGACTTTTGGTTTTAGATACACTTTTACTAACCTTTTAGCAGCCACTGTGCCTATTTCTTTTTTGGAGGGGTTACGGGGGTGGACATTGTCTTACATTACGGTCTTTGTGCATGGAATGCAAAATTGGATGTACAGGAATGTCCTCCGACAAAAGAGCATTGAGAGTTGTGGAAATGTAGGACACCAATCATAAAGTGATGACTTTTCTGTTATTTAGTTGCATGATTCATCATTTACATGGCCATCTAGCAAAGAGTATGCTCCCCTTGAATCACCCTTTTTTTTCTCTTCCCTTTTATTTCTCAGCTGGCAAGGGCTCTGAAACAAGTAGCAAATTATTTAAAACAAATGTGTACAGGGTGAAACCAGCTGCCAGATTAGAAGTGAAAATAAACTAAGTGAAAGGAAACTGCCCAGTTCACGGAGAGGGCAATAAGGATAGAGTGCAGCCAGGACATGACACTGGTGCTTGCAGATGCTGATAGACGTCTCTGACTGTCCCGCTGCTACAAATCTCCTTATAATTCATTAAGGAGAAATGTTCCTTGCAACATTTCACTTCTATTTTAGAAGCCTTTGTTTTACTTTCCATCCTGGATGGGTTCATCCTTATGTCAGGCGAGCCCGTTCCTACCGATGAATCACCATCCTGTATTCCCAAATAGGCCGGTGGTTCCTCTGATGGAAAACTGAATGCATGATTTAACTGCAGGTGTTTTAACTGTCTCATGGAAATGGAAAAAATTTTAATTCATAAAACATATTTAAGCCATGGCCATTGCAGCTCCACAAAATGTAAGGTGCAGAACGTAAGATTAAAAAATGTAAAGGTAAAGGGTGGCAAGATTAAAGTGGGTCCTCCACCCAAAAATTTCACTCTTCCTTTCCCCCAGCCTCTTAAACAATTGCAATTTTTTTTACACAAGTGAGTGCCTTTTTCAGTTGTACTTGCTTCCAGTTTCCCTTTCCCCACCTATGATGAGGTCTCCTTGGTCCAACCACCTCCCCCTTCCATCCCACAAGGGTACAGGACTAGTCTCACTGCAGTCAGTGATCTCACACATGCATAGAAGGGGGCCGGCTGTGAGTGATCAGGAATTGCTGGCTTCTGAATGAAAGATGGCGGAGTGGAAGATCAGAACTGTGAAGAATGGGGTGCATGGAAGACAGTGCTGGACTTCGTGGGGGGACAAATATGTTTATTGAATGTCAGCAACTAAAATACTTGGGGGGACATTTTTCTTTAAAGGCTAAGTTCACCATTAAAAAAATAATAAATACACATATATTTGCAGGAAAAATGTAAAATTGTAAAAATTTTTTTTTACAGGAGCCTGCAAAGCATGGCACGTTCAATCATCATAGATCACAGATGCAATGCCAAGCTGCTGCAGAGTCTTCCTCCGGCTCTCTGTAACAAGGTATAGTTGAGAACTACAATTCTGCCTGCCAGGGCGGGATGACTGACATGGCTGTGTGAGGGACAAACGCTATGGGGGAGATGAACGCCCGCATGCTGTCACAGGGAGGAGGGTCGTTATGGGGGGTGGGGGGTTGCTTATTGACATGATATACCTTAAATACAAATGTAACATGTTGCAAAAGGAGGAGTTATCCTTTAGTGCTGATTCACACTATTGCGGTGCAGGAAACCACTCCGCATTTTTGTTCAAATCACATGCAGACCACATACATTCACTTTGTATGGCTCAAATTGCATCACACCCACAAGAAAGGTGTATGCACTTTTTTTTTCACACTGTAGATGGATCACATGGTAGGATCACACCCATGTGATCCGATTCACCCAATCACACTCCATTCTGTGAACTTTTATGGGGTGTTGTTAATTTAACAGACACCCGCAGCTTTCGCATGAACGGATTGTGTGATTCTGATGTGGTGCGGGAAACACACAGAATTCGCTGTAAAGCCTGCACCACATCATTGTGAACTGGCACTTAAAGCTACAAAGATACGAAATGAATTCCAAAAACGAATCGGTTCAGCATAACAAATATGACAGCACAAAATTCTTCAATGAATGAATGCATCTGAATGAAACAAAAATGTCCGGCATGCACATTCATTTTCTGTATGTCCTATGAGATAAAATATGATACAGCTGTGGTTCCTGGGCACAACAATAGATGTATTGTACACTGCATGCCCATATGCTTGACTTTACGGATATGTGCAAGAGGCTTTATGGTGTTTTATTATGTTCTTCTCATACATGTGAACTAGTTATAATGAATTTATATACACTTGATGGAATACTTCTCTATATCACCTGTTATTCATAGAGCTGTGTAGCTCAAGTTGAAATTTGCATAAACAATTGATTCAGAACAGAGACTTTTCCCCCTGTCCACCCTTACTTCTTTTTAACTAGCTCTGGATAGAACTAATTCATTATGGTATGACTCCCTCAAGCACATCTGATCTTTGCATATTCTCTACTACACAGTTTATTATTTATTATAGGTACTTATATAGCGCTGTCAATTTATGCAGTCTTTGCATATATATTGTACATTCACATCAGTCCCTAACTCTCAAGGGGTGTACAATCTAAAATCCCTAACTCACATTCATACACACATACTAGAGCCAATTTAGACAGGATTCAATTAACCTACCAGCATGTCTATGAAGTGTGGGAGTACCCAGAGAAAACCCACGCAGGCACAGGGAGAACATGCAAACTCCAGGTAGGTGGTGCCATGGTTGGGATTCAAACTAGAGACCCTAGTACTGCCAGGCTGAAGTGCTAACCATTTAGCTACTATGCTGCCCAAGTTTACCAGTGTAACTGAACCTGAGTGAAATATTTATTATTATTTATTTATTACAGGTACTTATATAGCACCGTCAATTTACGCAGCGCTTTACATATTTATTGTACATTCACATCAGTCCTTAACCATCAAGGGGTGTACAATCTAAGGTCCATAACTCACATTCATACATACACATACAAGGGCCAATTTAGACAGGATCCAATTAACCTACCAGCATGTCTTTGGAGTGTGGGAGGAAACTAGAGTACCCAGAGAAAACCCAAGTAGGCACAGGGAGAACATGCAAATTCCAGGCAGGTGGTGCCATGGTTGGGATTTGAGCCAGCAACCCTAGTACTACCAGTGCTAACCATTTAGCCACTGTGTAGGGCAAGCTCCTTCTGCTTTGTACAGAGCAAGTATTTTCTTGACTCACACTTGCATAAATATATGTAACATTCTGATATTGAGGACTGGACATAAACAGGTCTTCAATGGTATTTCATCCTGTATACCTGGCTGTTGGATGTCATAAATATCATGGAAAGGGTTTGGATGCAAAGAATCTTTGCCAAGTGCTTTCTTTGCAGTTTGTGCCAAAAGCAAGACCATTTCATGTTCTCTGGTTTATATAAATGCTGGACAGCATGAAAATATAGTATATTTGATACCTTGCTTTTCCTCTCCCACTTTCGCCGTAACTAACAGTACCAGTGCTAAATTGCAGAGTTGATTTTACCAAAATGAAGTAGCAAAAATGCAGTGCATGACCTAATACTCTCAAAAGCCCAACCTGCTACATTGTGCTACTGTATATATAGTATGCATTTTATAGAGCAAAATCTGAAAATTTTAATTGGTGATGTAGAAGCTAAGGTTATTTGTGCTTAGTCACATCTGTTAAGCTATGATGTGCTTAGAAGGAGGATCCACAAAGAGAAGCATACATTCAAGTTCCTACATGTACAGATGAGAGTTTGAGGCATACCAACCCCATAAAAATACATTTATGTTCATGAAAAATAGAAAGGGTAGGTACCATGTCCACATCCTATTTTGTTCATAAAGAAGGCTTTTTAAGGGAATATAATGGAAAAATGGTCAGACAGTGTTTTTGTGATATACTGTATATACTTTTTTCTGTGTGACCATTTTTTACTATATGCCCTTAAAAAGTCACCTTGCTACAAAAAACCCCTTATATTTTGATGTTCTAAAACGGTAAATATCTTGTGGATTTTATTTGCTTCTTTGTTTCATGTGAAACATGAATAGTTGCTTTGTGCAATTGCTAAAGTTTTGTTGCACCAGTGTTTGGGTACTAAAACCTTTAACCACTTGCCTACCAGCCACTTATACCCCCTTCTTTACAAGGCCAATTTTCAGCTTTCAGCACTGTCGCACTTTGATTGACAATTGCGCGGTCATGCAAGATTGTACCCTTATAAAATTTTTATAATTTTTTTCTCACAAATAGAGCTTTCTTTTGGTGGTATTTAATCGCCACTGGGCGCTTTACTTTTTGCACTATAAAAAAAAAAATTGCAAAAAATTTGAAAAAAATAAATAAATTTGCTTTGTTTCTATTATAAAATTTTTCAAACAAGTAATTTTTCTCCTTCACTGATGTGCGTTGATGAGGCAGCACTGATGGGCACTGATAGGCAGCACTGATAGGCAGCAATAATGAGGTAGCACAGATAGGGGGCACTGATAGGCAGCACTAATGAGGTGTCACGGATAGGCGGCACTGATGATGGGTACTGATAGACAGCACTGATAGGTGGCACTGACTGGCATCACTGATGGGCACTGACTGGCACAACCGCTGGGCGCTGACTGGCAGCACTGCATTGATGGGCACTGGTGGGCACAGGTGGGTGGCACTGGTGGGCACAGGTGGGTGGCACTGCTGGGCACAGGTAGGTGGCACTTCTGGGCACAGGTAGGTGGCACTGCTGGGCATAGGTGGGTGCATTGCTGGGTGGCACCGCTGGGCACTGGTGGGTGGCACCACTGGGCACTGGTGGGCAGCACTGCTGGGCACAGGTGGGCGAAACTGGTGGGTGGCACTGCTGGGCACCAATCATCAGGGCACTGATCATCAGTGCCCTGATGATCGGTGCCAACCCCTGCTCTGACAACTTCTGGTTCTCGGCAGTACTTTCCTCGTGTTCTGACAGCGTGAGGAAAGTGCAGCCGAGAACCTGCAATTGCATTTCCCAGGGATCAGCGTGTCATTGGACACGGCTGATCACGTGGTAAAAGGCCGCTTTGATTGGCCTTTTACCACATCACGTGATCAGCTGTGTCCGTAGGACACAGCGATCATGGAGATCACTGGGTGCGTGCCCCTGGGGGCGTACAGGAGAGCGTGTTCTGGGAGGACATCATATGACGCCCTCCCAGAACTAGCCGGCCACAGTGTAGCCGTCATTTGGCTATCTATCTGCGGTTGGCAAGAAGTTTAATGACCCTTCAGTTTTTATCTGTTTGGGGTTTGCTCTTCTCAATTCCAATCCTTTTCATTTTGGAGTTTAAGGTATTCCAATTCTTTTATTGCCCCATAGAAACTGTTGTTTATATTAACTGGACTGATGATGGTGAAAAGCTGTATGCAGTTTGAAATAAATAGCTCTGTAATATTACACTGTTTCTATGTTATAAACCAGTGGTTAAGAATGTATAGTTGGCCCAGGGCTATAAGAAATGAATTGAGTGGTTCTGTGCACTAACCTGGAATAAAACCTTTTTTGGAGATTTGTGCTGGAAGTAAGATATGTAGATACCTTCTGTTTTTTTGAGGGCTCTTGTGTTTTTGCAACTTTATTTTTCATAATAAATACCCAACAGAGAGAAAGGGACCATTTTAAAAGCTGTGGTAGGAGTTCAAACCTGGTAAGACATGCACAAAGCTCAAAAGACACAGGAAACTGCCAGGTGGTGATTTACCTCTACAGGTTCTACCATAAACTAATATATCAGTTTTAGGAGGACAAACTGTTTAATAATAATCTGTTATAAATATGGAAGCTGCCAATGCTAATTTTTAAAAGATGTATCTATCTCTCATGCCCGTCTTATAGAATAACCGTTTAGTTATTCGCTTGTCATAAACAAGGGGTGTCTGTCTTTACTTGCTACATGCTTATTCTATGCCAATGACTCACCAAACAAAGAAGCTATAGTATGAGAATGAAGTCTAGAAATACATTAGAACTGAAAAGCATGGCTCCAGGTCAGTCCACCTTTCTTCAACCCTCAATCCGCAGAAAGATGCAGGTTCAAATCTTGACTGCATACATGTGAAGATCAATGAAACATGGTAAAATCAAGTACCTTAAAGACAACATCACAACCGCTCAGAGAAGCCTGTAAAATGCATTTCACACCGTGAGGCACTTACTTTTAACACATTTGACTAAAGGAGAGGAAGTTTTACTATGGCAACTGGTGTGTGATTATCTGTTTTCATTGATCTCCACAGTCAAGAAATGTATTGTTATTATTTCTAATAGTGTTACACAGGATATATATATAGTGGCAACAGTTTGCATAGCATTTTTTAAAACATAAAGGTTGAAAGTTCAGTTACAATATGATTCAAGACACAAGGTGGGCCCTGCTTGTGAGAGCTTGCAATATAACAGGGAGGAACAATTAGTACAAAGAGTAATGACTGTGCAGGAATGAGTTGATGGAGAAAGTAAAAATTTTAGCCTTTAGGTAGAGGCAGGATAGGCTTCTATGAAAATATAAGTATTTGGGGATAGCCTAAAGGCAGAGAGAGTGAGACATAGCTGGATAGATTGGGGTAGAGTGTTCCAGAGGATGGGAGAAGCTCTGTAGAAGTCCTGCAGATGAGCATGGGAAGAGTTGATGAGGGAGCTAGAGAGCATGAAGTCTTGGAAAGAGCGAAGAAGATGGCTCAGGTGATATTCTGAGACTAATATAGTGATGTAGCTGGAGTAAAATTTGTGGATGGCTTTGTATGTTGTTAGTATTTTGAATTGTATGCATTGGGTAAGCAGAAAGCAGTGGAGAGATTGGTAGAGAGGGATGTCAGTAAGAAGGATGAGTCTCGCAGGAGTATTCTTGTATGCTGAAGGGGGGACAGCCTGTGTAGTGGTAGGCAAATGAGGAAGGAGTTGCAATGGGTGAGGCAAAAGATAACAGATGAGTGAATTAGGAGTTCAAATGTTTTATTGGTGGAGAAGGGACATATTTTAGAAATGTTGAATGGAGAAGGTGGCAGGACAGCGATTGGATGTTGGTCTAAAACAGTGGTTCTCATCCTTTCTAATGCTGCGACCCCTTAATACAGTTCCTCATGTTGTGGTGACCCCCAACCATAAAATTATTTTCGTTGCTACTTCATAACTGTAATTTTGCAGTGGGAGGAGTAGTGCCACGTCATTGGTGTCAGTGGAAGGAGTAGTGCCCCATCACTGATGTCAGTGGGATGAATAGTGCCCCCCATCATTGGTATCAGTGGGAGGAATAGTGCCCCATCACTGATGTCAGTGGGATGAATAGTGCCCCATCATTGGTATCAGTGGGAGGAATAGTGCCCCATCACTGATGTCAGTGGGATGAATAGTGCCCCATCACTGGTGTCAGTGGGAGGAATAGTGCCCCATCACTGTCAGTGGGAGGAATAGTGCCCCATCACTGATGTCAGTGGGATGCATAGTGCCCCATCGTTGGTATCAGTGGGAGGAATAGTGCCCCATCACTGGTGTCAGTGGGAGGAATAGTGCCCCATCACTGGTGTCAGTGGGAGGAATAGTGCCCCATCACTGGTGTCAGTGGGAGGAATAGTGCCCCATCGTTGGTATCAGTGGGAGGAATAGTGCCCCATCGTTGGTGTCAGTGGGGGGAGGAATAGTGCCCCATCGTTGGTGTCAGTGGGGGGAGGAATAGTGCCCCATCGTTGGTGTCAGTGGGGGGAGGAATAGTGTCCCATCGTTGGTGTCAGTGGGGGGAGGAATAGTGCCACATCGTTGGTGTCAGTGGGGGGAGGAATAGTGCCCCATCGTTGGTGTCAGTGGGGGGAGGAATAGTGCCCCATCGTTGGTGTCAGTGGGGGGAGGAATAGTGCCCCATCGTTGGTATTAGTGACACCAATGATACTTACTTTGCTGACCCCTGCTCCAGCCTGGGCTCGCTCTCTCACTTACCTGTCAGCTGTCTTCCTTCTCTGGCCGCTCTCCTCTTCACTCGCTCCGGCAGCTCCCTCGATCTTCTTTGATGTACACGCGCTGCCGCTCGGCTCCTCCTCTCCAAGCTCCACCTCCTCGCCGGTGATTGGCCGCCTGTGTGCCTCTCCTGAGCTACAGTTCCGGTGGCCAATCAGCGGCGAGGAGGCGGAGCTGCTGAGCGATCCCGGAGGTGTGGCCAGGTGACAGGAGCAGCGTATCATCCCGCCCACACATCGCCTGAGACGGAGGAGCGGTGTCTCGGTTCCTAAGACCATCGGAAATATGTGTTTTCCGATGGTCTTAGGCGACCCCTGGGGAAATGGTCGTTCGACCCCCAAAGGGGTCGCGACCCCCAGGTTGAGAACCGCTGGTCTAAAAGGACAGGTCAAAGTCCAAGATAACGCTTAGTATGAAGGGAGGGATTGATAGTTGTGCCATTGATATCAATAGAAAAGTCAGGGAAGAGGAAATTATTATACAGGATTTATATAGCGCCAACAGTTTGCTAAGCGCTTTACAATATAAAGGGAGACAATACAGCAACAATACAGTTCAATACAAGAGGGATTTGAGGGCCCTGCTCCTTGGAGCTTACAATCTAGGAGATGGTGTGCCATCCACACTGATATGTCAGTAAGTTAGTGATACATGAGGAGACTGAAGGGGTAAGCTGAGGAGTAAAGAGAAAGATTTGGGTGCCAACATATAGTTGAAATTGGATACCATTGACAGGTTATCAACTGACCAAAGGAAGAAGCATAGATGGAGAATAGAAGCTACCCAAGGAAAGAGTCTTGGCAGACCCCTAAAAGAAAAAAAAGAACAGGAGAGGAGAAGATAGAGTAGTAGGCGACACTGAAGGAGCACTTAGGTAGGATGAGAATCAGGAAAGAGCAGAGTCTTGGAGGCTAAGGGTGTGGAGTCTTTTGAGGAAGAGCGGATAGTCAACTGTATCAAAGGCAGCAGAAGGTCTAACAGTGGGAACACAGAGTAGTGGTTTGAGTGGTTTGTAAGTGAGTTTTAGTAGACAGGGGGGTTATTTACTAAAACTGGAGAGTGCAAAATCTGGTGCAACTTTGCACAGAAGCCAATCCGCTTCCAGGTTTTAGTGCCAACAAGCTGAAAGTAGAAGCTGATTAGTTACCATGTACAGCTGCCCCAGATTTTGAGTGCACCAGTTTTAGTAAATCTCCCCCCGTTTTCAGTGAAGTATTGTGGGTGAAAAACGCCAGATACTGTATTACTTCTGTGTCATTCTCACTTTAAAGTACACCCGAGAAGTGAAGTATGAAGGATTTTATTTAGTGGCTTTCTTCTAACAATGCTAGTTGCCTGGCTGTCTGGCTTCAATACATTTGAGCACTGAAGAAGCATGTTGTAAATGAGTGCCAGAATGTCTTATATTGGTATTTGTTCCAGGTCAGCAACTAAGAAAGCACTGGAGCCATTGCATGAGAATAACAGCCAGGCAGCTAGTATTTCCAAAAGGATAGGTCAGCAATGGCAGCCTTCATTTTTCTTTCATGAGAGGTGTTCATTGTCCAGGAAGTCCTTACGATGTATAAATCAGAGTGCCTTGTAAAATACCTTGCTGCTCTTTTATCTTGTACAGAAACTTCGTCCCCTGCAGCACTGAACTATAGCAAAGAGTAAAGTGGTAAAATTACAGTATCTGAGATGTGACCCAGACTTCACCTGAGCGCTGTCAGCATACTTTAGCACACAGACACTGCTTGTTTTTCAATGGCTGCACATGAAATATGGCAGTGAAAATTCCCTCTAAAGAGGCTATACAAACTATAATGTTCTAACCCTGGAAAAGGCCGTATTGTATTGCCAGGATTAAATTGCATGATTATATTTTTTAAATGGAAACAATGCATCTTCTC